AACTGCCCAGAGCTTCAGCTTCTTCTCTTCTAAAATGGGGCAGTTAAAAAAGGAGGGGCTGCTAGCTGTGCACCGTAATGACTCCACACCCATTCTCCAGGTCCTGTGCATTACCTCCCGGGGTCCCTGGGAAGCTCCTGCATAATGTGTTTGGCCTCAGAATCAGCCCTCAGTAAACGGTGGGCAGGTAACAGTAATTCTCATGCACTGGACCAACCACTGGGCAGAAGGCAGAAATCCCAGTCTTCCCGAACCCCAGATACTGTTGCCATTTGTCACCGTACCAAATGTTATTTCCTTAAATGATTAAAATCTCATAGTGCTGTTTGCGCTGCTCTAGGGATGCCAAAGTATGCTGATTATGCAGAGCTGAAAAGATCATTCTAAGTGGAAAATTCATGGTTTCACCATTCTTTGCTTTAGGAAAAAAATGCCACATTACAAGACCGTTTCTCAGCTTCCCAAGACCTCTGCTTCCCAGCACCTGTATCTCTCGGGAATAAAACCAGTTGCAGACGGCCAGCTAAAATGACTATGGAAGCCGGGTGTGGTGGACATGCCTGTAATCCCAGCATTTGGGAGACTGAGGAAGGAGCATCAGTGTGAGCTGGAGGCCGCCTGGGATTTTACAAGTGAGTTCAAGGCCAGCCTGCACTATACAGGGATACTTTGCCTGCAAAAATATAAAATGATGACATGAAAGGACTGTGCTAGAAAGACAGCGGTGCCTTCTCTCTACTGCGACAGACGGTGACATTGGCTGCTTGTGTCCCTTTCAAAGATGTTCTCTAATGTTTTGCTGCCACTTCCCCCAAACAAAACAACATGCAGCTGCATGTCACGCCAGCTCTCCGGTTCACTGCCCTCCCAGCCTAGGCAGCCGGTCCCAGCCAGGCTTCTACCCTGTCACCATGGGGCTGGGCGCCCAGCCAGGGTCCTTGGGTACTGAACCTTGTGGAATCCATGAAGTTAATTTTCCAAACTAGCTTTATTTGTCCTGGTTTGAACTTCAGACAAGGTAGCTCTGGAGAAATTCATACTGACTCTCTCACTTCATTTCATAATATTTTTTTATTGTCAAAAAGAAACATTTACCAATACAGAGCATATCCTGGGCTGTGAACCAACCTCAACACATTTGAAAGAATTTAAATCACACAAAATGGGTTCACTAAAAATGATGCAATGAAATGGGGAACCAGTAATTGCAAAATTCTCCAAATCATGGGAAATTAAACAACAAAATAACCCGTGGGTCAAACAGGACATCACAAGGGCAAGTGGAAAACATTTTGAGCATAAAAACAAAAATATATCAAGATTTTTGTGATACCTTTAAAGTGGTTTTAAAAGAAAGAATAATGGCATTGTTAGAGAAAAAAATCTAAAATTAATGATCTAAGTGTGTATCTTTAAGAACTAGAAAAAGCAGCTAAAAGCAAAGTAAGAAGAAGGGAAAAATGGGAAAGAGATGAAATCAATGAGACCGAAAAACAGAAAAGCAAGAGAAGATGTTGAATGAATAAGAAATCTGGTTCTTTTAACAGATCAATAAAATTGACAAGCCTTAGCCAAACCAAAACTGAGCATAAGGAAAAATTACTAATATCAAAATGAAGAATTCGAGATACAGCTCAGTGGTAGACTGCTCACCTAGAATATGCAAGATGCTCAGTTTCAACCCTAGTACTCAAAAAAATGAAAAAGAAAAAAGAAGTAAAACAAGTCATCATGGAGCCTCTAGAAAACACTATTACAATGTAACAGTATTATGTGGAACAACTTAATGCCAATAAACTCAGATATCTACATGAAACAGAGAAACTCCTTCAAAGAAAAAGACCACAAAAGCTTTCACAAGAACTAAGTTATCCTTAATAGACCTATAATTTAAGAAATAGAATTTATAATTGAAACCATTTCAACAAGGAAAACTCTAGATCCATGTACCTTTGCCAACAAAGTCTGCCACTTTAGTGATAAATAATATCAAGTTAAGCCTGGAGAGCATAACACTAATTTTGTCATAAAGGTGCAGAAAATGGATCTGTTGGACCCACGTTTATTGTTTAGAATACTTCCATTGATGAATTATTATTTTTAATTTTATGAGTTTTGTTATATTGAACAAATGAGTACTTAACAAGAAAAATTATAAAAATAAAGAGTTGGATTTTCAATATTTGTTGAGTGTTTATCAAAAGCATCAAAATTTTTAGTGTCAACTGTTTTTTGGTGCATGAAGTCTAATGATGAACTACACACATTCCTACATGAACTACAATGAAAATACCAACAGCACCTTACAAAAAAAAAAATCTTCGCTTCAATTGTTACACCTAAGGCAGTCTGCACATGTGACAAAAGCACATTCTGTACACATGTATCACCCTGACAGCACATGCTTTCTTGGTATTTTTGTAGGACATGTAGGACTTGCTGTTTTGTCAGGAGGTTTTTTTTTTTTTTTTTTTTTTTTTTTTTAACTGGGGATCAAACTCAGGACCTTGCCCTTGCCAGGCAGGCACTTATGCCGCTGAGCTAAGCCCCCAGCCCCATGGAGGTTCTTATTATATTATACAGTGTATAGTTAACAGACACATAAAATATCAATAAAATAAAGTATTAAATTCTTAATGTCTATTGTGCATTTAGAACAGACATTAACATTTTCATATCAACTGTGTACTTGCTCACAAAACCTAAAAGATTACATCAGAAATAAAGTCCTGTGTGAACTACCATGAAAATACCAAGAGAGCTCTCCCACGAAAATAAGGCTGTGCTTCAACTGTCACACCCAAGGCAGGCTTCACACATGTTCTATGCACACATCTCACTTACACTGACAGTATATGTGCTTATCTTTCCTTTCCTATGTGGCAGTCTCGTCACCTCTCTTCCTGTTTTGTCAGGAGCTTCCTACTGTACTGTACAACATGCACTTAGCAGGGAAATAAGTGATCAATATAATGAAATATGAAATATGTCATAAGTGCTCAGAATAACACTGACATTTTTCACAGCAGCTGTTAACATGCTTACCAAACCCAATAGGTAATCAGAAATAAAAACCTACCTGAACTACAATGTAAATACAAACAAAAGTCAGACACACAGGCAGCAGCTACTTTTATGCTAAAGTACAAGTTTACAGTAGAAAACAAGGGATGGGTCTGCAGGACCCAGTGTTATGCTCCTACTAAACTCCTCTAGAATATAGAGGGAAACCGGTCTTCAGTCATTTTATGAGCTCAGCATTGCCCTGATACCAAAGCTAGACAGGGAAGAGTATAGACCTGAATCTGAGAAACAAGAATGGGAACATCCTCAGTAAACCATTACTGATCAAATCCAGTAACATCAGAATACAGCGCATCATACATAAGATAAATTTATCCCAGAAATGAAAGGTTGATTTAACATTTTTTTCAAAAATTGATGTAATTCACTGTATCAAAAGACTACATAAGAAAAATCATAAGGCAGAAGAAGGATGTAGATAACTCAATAGCTTCAGTTAGTTCCCCATTGTCCACCACTGCCTATAGCCCAGGGTTCAATCCTCAAATGGGAGAGAAAAAGGGGGTGGAGGGATGGGGGGGGAGGAAGAAAAGGAGGAAGGGAGAAATAGAGGGGAGGGGAAGGAGAGGACTTTCTCAACCTGGGTAAAGGCTTTGGTGTTAGTTACAGGTAGCTGCAATGCTGTGTAACAAATCTCCCCAAGCATAATACAAACATTTATCTCTGGGTGCCTCTGGTTCAAGGCCTCTCGCAGAGAACTGGCCTTATCTGAGGCTCCCTGGAGCTGGGTGGTGTGGCAGGGAGCTCACTTCCAGCTCGATAGCGACTGTCCCTAGGACTTTGTCTAGAGGATTATTGGACTGATTTTCCCAAGAGAAGCAGACATACCTGTTTCTACAGAAGACCTGGCGTGAAGGTTTACAGCGATTTGATGCATCAAAAACTGGGATGGGGGGACTCAAATATTCCTCACCAGGATTGGATAATAAACACTGGTGCGTGGGTACTGCGGACTACTGCTAGCAGTAAAAGGGCACTGCTGATGAGTGTTCCACAGACGGAGAAACACCCTCAGAAAGCAGCCGAGCATACAATTCTTTGTCTATGACCGTCTGGAAAAGGCAAAGCTATGGGAACAGAAAAACAGACTGCAGTAGCCATTTGCTAGGACTTTGTGGGAGGCCTACCGTCCACCTCTAGGCCATCCGGGACCTTGTATAGAGCCCCATGCAGCCCCGGTGCGCTCTCCCCAGTCCACCTCCGCATTTCTTGGCAGGCTGCTTTGCTTGGGGGCTGATGGAGCAGGACAGAGGGCGTCCACCCTCTGCCCACCACCATGGCCAGACCTGAGCAGTAAGGCCCAGCCGCATAGGAAGGAAAGGAGCCCCACTCCAGTGAGGCCGCAGTGTGAGCTCTCTGCCCAACGCTGGGTCCGGTGGCTCCCTGCAGACCGGTGTCCTCTCTAAATAGGACAGACATAGAAGCTGCCCTCATGCTGGACAGGCTTAGGGCATCCAAAGGAGTGACCTCAGTCACTGCAAGGTGTCACCCAGGGCTCAAGCCGGCTGTTTCCTCGCAGATGCTTCGACAGCTGCATTCGTCAAGGCCTGCATAAGTTGGGTTTTTTGTCGTTTAATGAACTGGGGACTGAACTCAGGACCTTTCACTAGCTACATCCTCTTTTTATTTTTTGAGACAGAGTCTCGTTAAACTGCTAAATTGCCCAGGCTGGGCTCAACTTCGAGATTCTCCTTGCCTCAGCCTCCCAGAGTGCTGAGATCATAGGCATGCCTCACCGCGTCAGGCTAGGAATTAGCAACCTTGCAGATCTCGGCGGGTGAGGACAGCTCTGCTCCGCAGCTCCGCAGAGGGCGGGACGGGCGCGGCGCAGAGGCTCCGCCCACAGCGACAGGGGGCGGGGACTGTTCCCCTGACGACCGCTGGTGGGCGGGGCGAGCTGCGGGGGCGGGCCCTGCAGGGCGGGGGCGCCCGGAGTCCCCGGGGAAGGAGGCTCTGGGCGAGCGCGGCTGCACTGGGCGGTCCCGCAGGAGGCGCCAGGTGTCCTCTGGCGGCCGGGAAGTGAGACCCGAAATTGGAACCGGGGAAGCCCTTGGCCTTCCGGTTCCCCGGCCGGCTCCTGCGTCTTCGCGCGGGGGAACCGCAATATTAAACAGAAAGATCGGCTCGCAGCTGGCGCGTCGGGGATGCCGGCCTGCGTTTTGCTTGCGGGGTGTCAGACCGGCAAGAAGCTGGGGCGCCCTCGTCCCTGACCGCACCGTCTCTGCGGAAGCAGGGCCGGGGTGGGGAGGCCTCGGGGGGGCCCCCCGCCGGTCTGTCACGGTGCCCTCTGCTCCGGGTCCTCGAACGCGCAGCCCCTGCAGGTCAGGGCCGCCCAGTGCAGCCCAACCCTGCCGTTATTTCTCAACGATATTTAAAAGCAATGTGAAAAAACCCATTGCAAGATTTATTCCTCTGTGATGGAGAAGTATGAAAAAATAGGGAAAATTGGCGAGGGGTCCTATGGAGTTGTTTTCAAATGCAGAAACAGGGACACGGGCCAGATCGTGGCCATTAAGAAGTTTCTGGAATCGGAAGATGACCCCGTTATCAAGAAGATTGCCCTTCGAGAGATCCGCATGCTCAAGGTAATGAATCACTTTTCCGTTAAGGTGACTTTTCAGGGATTGAAAAAAAATATAGGAGTCTTGTTTTGTCGAATGCATGGGTTGGGGCCGTGGTTACCTGACCTTCCTTCATGGCCTGGTTAGTGGCACTCATCAGCCAAGTGAGGACCAACGAAGAGCAAGCGCAAGGTAAGATGCTGCAGTGTATTTTCATTTTCTCCCGGTAGCTCCCCTCCCATGTCACCTGAATACCTGAATTTTCAGATGAGATCAGGCGAGTTCAGGGTGGTATGTCGGTAAACAGACCTGGATTTTGTTTTGTTTTGTTTTGTTTTGGGAACCAGGGATCAAACTCAGGACCTCGAGCTTGCCAGGCAGGTGCTTGTGCTGCTGGGCTAAATCCCCGGCCCAGACCTGGATTCAAAAGCCAGTGCACTGGGAGGTGCAGGAACTTAGAACAACTCAATTTCGCCAGCATTCTGGAACTTTACATTTCCAGGCTGGTTTCTATTGGTGATCCAGATCCATTAAGAGAATTAAGTGATTCATCTGTGGTCAGACTTCGGGAAAGGCAGCAGGATTGTGTTACACCTCACTCACTTGTATCCACTGAAAGAGTGGGTCCTTGTGAAGTAGTGACATGATCGCTTCCTCTGTGCCCCTTAGTTAGCCCTGCGGAGCATGGTGTCAGGGGCCACTCGGAGTTGAAAGTATTTTTCCTTTAATGAAAAGAGGCTTCCTTTCGAAATTCCTGTACTGGTGCCACCCAGCGCACAGAGTGTGGCATGGGATGAACAGAGGACAGTAAAGACAGTTACAACTGCAATGCCCTGACCTGTGTGACCAGCCCTGTGACAAGAGGAAGAGTGACTCAATCACAGATGAGGGATGGATCCCAGCAGTCTGGGTGGTGGGGAGCCACAGGACTGCAAGTTGAAGCTCCTCCTAGGCAACTTAGTGACTTAGTGAGACCCTGTCTTGAAATGAAAAAATAATAGAGGGTTGGGTGTGTAGTGCAGTATGATAGCCCTGTGTCCAATCCTTAGCATGGCAGGAAATAAAAGGTGGGTAAGAGGAAAGCTTGTGTCTTAACTAGCAGGATGTTATCTATTCTGAGAAGACTACCTTCTAGGGAGCATGAGACCAGCAGAGTTTGCCCATCTCACAGATGGACCACCCTGGCTTCCCCACCTGTACTCTGGGATGTGGGCTGATTGCATCTTCCCTTTTGTAGGCTTTCTGTAGGGGAGAAAGTTCGATTACATTTCCCACCTCCAGCCTGTACCCGGGATTGAATCCAGGGCCTCACATATGCTATGGAAGGGCTATGCCACTGAGCTGCGTCTACAGTCTGATAATTGCACTGAAAAGGGCCAGAAAAGCAGATCTTTTCCTGGAAGAAAGCTGCTCCTTTTCCAACTCTGAAGGTCACCCGTGATGTTGCTCCTACTGCTCACTGTGTGTTACACTGCTGTGTTCACAGGCCCCCAGGACGCTGGCCTTGCCTCCTATCTCTGCATCCCAAATGTTACTGTTGCACTGAAAACAGAGAGTGAAAGAAATAAGCTTTTAGAGAAAGCAGGTGTGAGCAGCAGCATGTCAGGAGACTGGGCTGATCTGCTTTCGCAGCTGAACTCTGTCCAGGTGTGTGCAGCAGAGCTTGGATTCCAAAGCCCGCAGCCCCTGCTCTCTGAATCACATGTGTAGCTATGTGAGGTGCAGGACTGGATTCTTGGGAGAGTCTGTGCTTTCAGTCCTACCTATTCAAAATTCTGTGATTTTCCTAACACCTTACAGGTATTTGATGAATGTTTGCTGAATGCATGAAATGGAGGTGTGTTAAGTCAGGTCATCTTTTCTCCATCTATTTGTCCAGTAAATACTCAAAGAGCCCCAGTTTTGTCCAAAACAATGTTTATGCAAAGCTGTACGCTGTCTACTCTTGGAAAGGAGGCCAAGTGAACTTCCATGACCTCTCCCAAACTAAGTGAGCCCTTTAAACAAACTACTGTTACCACTACTTCCTGAAGGAAAGGACGTTTTAATATTAGAATTTTTTTTTTGTCTTTTTCTTTTTTTATTGGTACCAGGGATTGAACTGACGACCACACACTTGCAAGGCAAGTGCTTATGCCGCTGAGCTAAATCCCCAACCCCTAATATTAGAATTTTTTAAAAGCTAGGCATGGCGGTGTGTGCCCATTTCAGCTACTTGGGAGGCCGAGACAGGAGGATATTGAGTTGGAGGCCAGCCTAGCAATTTAGTGAGACCCTGTTTCAAAACTTTTTGTGTGTGTGTCTTTTTGAGATGGTCTTGTTGTGCAGTTCAGGCTGGCCATGCCCTCACTTTGTAGCCCACACTGGTCTCAAACTTACACAATCTTTTTGCCTCAGCCTCTGGAGTGCTGGGATTACAGGCATGCACCACCATGCCCAGTTTCAAAACTTTTTTAAAAGAGAGAGAGATTGCTTCTCAGTGGCAGAGAGCTTACCTAGCTTGCCTGAGGCCCTGGGCTCCATCCCCAATACCACAATTAGAAAAAGAAAGGATGAAAGAAAAAAACAGGGACAGGGGCTGGGGAGGAAGGAAAGAAAGAGGAAAGGGGAGGAGAGGAAAGGAGAGCAGAGGAAGGACAAGACATACCTATAATCTGAGCACTCTGGGAGGCTGAGGCAGGAGGATTGAAAGTTCAAGCCCAGCCAAAGCAATTTAGGAAATTATTGAGACCCTGTCTTTAAACAGAAAATGCAAAAAAGACTGGGAATGCAGCTCAGTGGTAAGGCCCTGGATTCAGTTTCCAGTACTGAAGAAAGCAGCACAGCTCAGCACAGCACAGCTCAGCACAGCACTCCCCAGGCGAAAGTAGTTGACAACTATGTATAACAGCTATGGTGTGAGTGCACGAGTGTAATTGTATATGTATGTACGGCTGCTCTTCTTTCCCCTGTGTCACTATCCTTTAATGAAAGTGGTGACAGTATTTGTTTTGTGCATCCTCAATCTCATGACAGTAAACATTGTGTCTGGAAACAAAAAGATTCCCCAGATCAAGTGGTGTCCTATTACAGGATCTGTGTGCAGTGTAACAAAATACTGGAGCTATAATACCAGTTCCCTACAAGGGACAGTGTCTCTTGGATTTTATATTATAATAGAATTTGGTTTCTGTCTAACCTCAGAGAATTTGCAAGCTGTGTTTTCCAAACTCTTTGCTTAACAATTTAAAGCAATGTCCAGCAGCTGCTACCAGGTTTCTTTTAAAAGCTATATTTGTTTCTTCTTAAAGAGAGACAAAATGGGAGTGAAAGGCCCAGCAAACTTTTTGAAGACACAGCCTTGTTATGTTATCTAGGCTGAAACTCCTAGGATCAAGTGATCCTCCTGCCTCAGCCTTCTGAGTGCTGGGACTGTAGGAGCATGCTACTGTGCCCCCACCCTCCCTGCCAAATGGACAATGTTTTTTGTTCCAGTCCAGCCACAGTGCCACTATGGCTAGCTTCAGTTAGGCAATTTTTAAGGCTAACTGAAGCTAGAATGTGTCACAGTTTCAGCTAAAGGTACAGCTGTGCATTGATCAACTGGGTGATAATTATTACCAAGAAACTTTTTTTTGGTTTTCACTATGGGGACTGAACCCACATTTTAGGCAAGCACTCTGGTGCTGAGATACACTCCCAGCCTTTTTAAAAATTTATTTTCAGACAGGGTCTTGCTAAATTGCTCAGGCTGGCCTCAAACTTGTGATCCTTCTGCATCACCTTTCCAAGTACCTGGGATTATAGACATGTACTATCACACTTAAATAAAAACGCTGTTTTGCTAAAATTTGAGGCCTGTCCTGGCTTCACAAGCAAGATCACTGAGGACACTATTGGATTCATCCAAGTGTGAAGTGATGGCATTTGAGTCAGAGAGACAGTGGTAGAGGTGGTAAGCGATTGTAGGATTCTAGATTTTCCTGAGCGAATAGCACTTAGGCATCTTATGGTGGATGAAAAGCCCACAGTGATTCCAAGGTTTGGGGGCTGGGGCCAGAGCTCAGTGCTGAAGCACTTGCCTAGCAATCTGCTGATAATAAATGCAGTGAGGGAAACTGCCAGCCAGTGGAGAGAAAACTGCTGTGGGCATGACCTTGAATTACTAATCTAGACCACGATAACAGCATAAGAAAAGACCAGTTCATGTTGCTTCTGGAAGAATACGCTGCCTTTTATTTGGAGTGTTGCTCGGTACGTTACGCACACCATCTTTAATCTTCTCTGTGACAGACCCACACCTGGCTTCAAGAAGTAGGTGTAGATGTTCTTTCATTGAGGAATATGGCATCTTCTGATTTGCATGGAGCACACGATCCCTGCAGGAAAAATGTCAGCCCCTTCTGTATTGTTGTTGAAATACATTATGATATTTTGAATGGGGGTGGCGGTGAAAAAAACCACAATACAGAGAGGGACAAGGACTCTGAAAGAAAATCCCGTTAAATCTAGGAGTCAGGCATTGTGGGCTGTGGTCACCACAGGCCCTGGGGGGGGTGGCCATTCATTTTTTATAAAGCTGGTGGATGTGCCTGAACCCAGCCCAGCCCCTTGGGGAGTATCTGTGAGTCCTCCCCAACAACTCAGAGTAATTTTTTGTTTTAACCAAGACCCCAAGTCTTTTACTGCAGAACCTTCTTTCTATAGAATGAAATTGGTAGAACCAATGGAAGAGGAAAGAAAGAATTCCAACCGGGAGGGGCAGAAAGAGTAGATAATCTTAAAGGAGTTGAAGGTCCAAGGTGGTACTGTGTCACTGTGAGTGCCTGGGTGACCTTCCCGCCCATGACACGTGGAACAAGGAACATTACAGTTGGTCCGATCAGCCTCGGTCCTGACCTAGAAGTAGCCATGGAGAGAAAACTTGCCCTTCAAGGACAAAAGGAGTTAAAAGAGAGAGATAAGGAGAGGGACTCATGCTTCTCATTTGGTAGGTTGGGGCTGGTGACCAGGAAGCTTGGGCACACTGCCAGGAGTCATTACCT